TGTCCATATTTAAGAAGGTAGATGAAAGTAAGACCAATGCCCTGGCTGCCTTATTCCTAGCTTTGGAAAGGCACTTTTGATTGGGAATAAGAGGGAGGGAGATCCGAGGGACCAAAAACTAAAATGGGGTTTGGCTAAGGACAGCAGTAAAAAAGAAGATGGGGATAGCAGTGGGCTAAATACAGGCCCCTGCCATTGCTCCAAAGAATGGCAGTCATTGTCTACAAGGTGGGCTTCTTGCTGCAGCAGGGCCTGTCCCTCCATGGATGGTACAAGCCACGAAACCATGAAGCGCAGGAAGCACATTTATCTTGAAGCATGAATCACCCTCAGAAGCCCAAAAAAGAATCCTCTCTTTGTGGCCCTTCCATCTCCTTTTTGGCTGGCATCCCTCTCTCCTCGGGCTGGTGTCAAGGCCTTATGAAAACGCAGGCTGAGTGACCTTTCTGATAGAAATGAAACATTCCAGAAACTCATGTGACAGGGTGTCTCTTAAAAACGGAAAGGAAACAATGAATGAATGAACCAGCTAGAAGGCATATGTCATTCAAGTCCAACCACGGAAGCAGTCAGAAATGGCTAGTGCGCCCTGACTGCAGGGCTTCTGGAGTGGAAAGGAATGGCAGAAAGTGCACTTTCTGACGACGCACCCCCCTCCCCAATCTATTACATCCCTACATTAAGTTAGTATTTGACCACACAAGTCTTTTTTTTTTTTTTAATCCACCATGCTTCTAGAGGATGGAGCAGCAGGAAAGTGCAATCTGAGGACATGTCCATGCAGACCGTGTGCTCGAACGTCAAGGATGCTGTCCCTTCTACAATACCAGGCACATTGGGAGCCAAGAGCCCTGCAAAGATATCAAAGTCCCTGTTGGGGAGCCAGCAGAGTAAAGGGTAATGGGGAGCTCCATGTTCAGAAACAGCACTTGGCAACGACTTTGGTTACTCCTCAAATCCTCACACTGGACTGTGACCGACCCCAGGGTAGAAGCACCAACATCAGCGGAGGGTGGGAAGTTACCTTTCGGAACCATCCTTCACAGGAGCAGAGGGCCACGCCCACTCTGTGACCTCGACCCCACTGAATTATACAGAGGGGAGCTGATGTTAAAATGAACCTCGAGGACAGCCTCAGGGGGGAAGAGCACGGGAGGCCAACCTGCAGGATGGAGGAGAGCAGAGGGGAGGGAGCAGGCCTCCTTCTGCCTGGGAAGGTGACAGATCACTTATTCTGCCTCAGCTCTATCCATGGATGTGAGTTGCAGGGGTGAAAACCACACCGTTTCCTTCTATCACAGCAGCACGGAGCTCCCCACAGCTCAACGTCCCAGGCCAACATCTATCCGAAACCAAGCACCTGGGTGCCTAAATTCTATCAGCCCATAGAATGAATGAAAAAGTATAACCCCTGGGTCTCTTCCAGTGCTTGAGTCCAAACATTCTGAAATCCCAGGAAAGGAAAACTTCCCCAACACAGACATTCAGTCAAACCACAGCCAGCCAGCTAACTCTCAGCGTGACTCAGTTTCCCTCCAAGGAAATCGTAAACAAAAGTGCCAGCTCCTACCCCTTCCCCAGAAATCAGCTTACACTTGCCTTTTCAAACAGAGAGCCTCTGATTCCTGAGAGGTGGCGGTGGAGAAAGCAGGAGACCTGACCAGAAGGGCGGACTTGCTTCCTGCTCGGAATCCCTTCCAACATTCCCTCCTCGGCCAGGTGTCGCCACAAAAAGCGCGGAGAGTTTGCCAAGTAGGAAATTACCCACCCCTTAAAAGGAATGTTCCTGCAATGAAAAAATAAAACCCCAACAGCCTTGTCTGTAAACTGGGGTGGGGGAGGGGGGTGGAGGGAGGAGGGGAGGAGGGAGGAGAACAGTAAAGAGATACAAATTTGAAAACAGCCTGGCTGTTGTTGGAGGGTTAGATTTCCCTTCCCTCAAGGACAGCCAGATCTTCTATGGTTGCTGATAACACCAAGCAGCTTCACTTTACTGCCCTCACCCAGGTCTCAGCTTCTAACATCTGTGTCCCCAACGTCCTCAGAGACCCTGCTCAGAGCTTGGAGGGTGACTGTCCCTGCTGTCCAGACTGGACACCGTCTGGGAAGGAGCTCTAAGACATCTGAGAGCAGAGGCAGACACAAAAACACTTGCTGCCCATGTGCCACTCCAGCGCCTTTCTGATGAAAAACTATACTTTTAAAAACCAACACTGAGCCTTCCCTATCACAAAAGCTGTAATTTAGCCCTTTCCCCCCCCAAAATGACACCTTTCCCTTTAGAGACCAGATGTAATTCCGATACAAGTGAAATAAAGACAGTGTAAGGCTCCCTAACTCATTTGACATCTTTCATTCAATGACCTGAGGCTCTTAAATCACTTTATAAATGTAAAAATTCACACCTCATCGCTTTAAAGGAGGGAGTCAGAGGAAGTATCATTTTCCCATGTTACAGTCCGTACATTTGAGGAACAATCCACGGAAAATCCCCTTCTCTTATCTTTGGGGGTAGAGGGGTCAGGACTCCATATCATTATCCTCACGTTACAGTCAGTACATTTGAGGAACAACCCTGAGCTCTAAATAAGTAGCTTGGGACAAAGCCAATGGGGGGGGGGGGCGGCTGAGCAATATCCACCCTGCCCATTTAGAGGGGAAAGGGCCCTCGAAGTGGGACTGGTGATGCTCTCTGGCCTAGAACCTGCATCTGACTTTAGCCACAGTTCCAGGACCACAGAGCTATAGCTCAGGGGACTTCTTTCTCTCCTGCTGCTCCTTAGTGGTCCTGAAACTCCTAGACCTTTAAGTGACCAGTTATTTCGCTCCAAGGATCAGATGAAATACATTGGTCCAGCCCCCACTGTCTCCCACTTACCCATCTCTGTCCCCAAATACAAAACCTTGCAGAGGGGGGGCCAAGCCTCATCTCCGCCCACCCCTCCATGCTTCTCTAGACCAAGATGTCCTGCAGGCCCCCCACCTCCCCCTGGCCCACTCACTTGTATCATTAGCTCATTCACAGGAGCAGGCAGGAGAGATGCCCAGCAGACCAGCTACCCCTCCTACCCCTGCCCCAATACCTTCTGTCTCTACAGGCGAGCAGATGTAGCTCCACCTCGCAACCAGGGGGAGAGCCCATCTCTCAGAGGGCTATCCTTTCTGAGGGACAGAAAGGCAATGGGCAGTCCTGCCACAGCATAGAAGCCCATGGTCACCTGCAAGCGGCTTGGGGCTGGAGGTACCTCATTCCTGAAGACACAGATCAGGGACCTGGGACCTGGGACCTGGGACCTGGAACCTGGAACCTGGCCCATTGTTTTTCTAGAGAGAAAGACACTGTACCACCCCCAGGACAGGCCATTCAGCCCTCCCCTTGATCCTTCTTCCTGGTTACACAAAGACAGAAAGAACCCAGGCCTCCTGATGACCCAAGTCTGGAGGCCAGAGTAACAGCTCATTTGTTACTGAGTGCTGTGAACACAATAGAATTGATGAGCAGAGCCCCCAAGGTTACACTGGCCCGGATCTCCCAGGGTCCCGCTCTTTTCCTCCTGGGGGGGCATGAAGCAGCATCGGAACCACCTGTCACCCTAGGCTCTGTACCTGAGGCAACTAGACTTCCCCCCAAGGAAACTGGAGACAGAGGGAGACATAGTCCTGAGAAGGAAGGGAAGGGGCCAGTTCTGCCTGGCATACACAGAAAGAGGGGAAGACGGGCACCTGGGAAAAAGGCCAGCGTCTCCCTGCCCTTGCTATGAGCAGGGATGAGCGGTCTTCATCTCAGCCCTGCACCTCCCACCGATGATTGGAGATCAGAGAGGGCAGAGAGAGAGCTGGCAGCCAGGGGGCTGGGCCGGGCCCCAGGGGGTGCAGTCCACCATCACCGAGCTTTTCCAAGCCCCCCGGAGAGAAGGCAACAGGGTCATTTTGGACGGTTCCCTTCCCTTCTGCAAAGTCCTCAGTCTCAAACTAAGGAGGGTCTGTGGTTTCCACTCCCAAGCACTGGCTCCCTAACTTCCACCAGACTGGCGCCCCCCTTTGCCCTCCCGAGGTGGCCTCGTGGGGTGCTCTCCGCCCGGAGGAAGGGGGTGTCAACCTTCTGCAGCCAGAGCTCCCCGTCCGGCCCCTTCCCCTAGCATCTCCTCCATGCCCCTTTGTTTTCCGGCGGGGAAAGTTGCCAGCGTGCACCCCTTCCCCAACACGCCCCCCTGTGCGCCCATCCCCCTCCGGGAATCCAAGCCCGGGCGCACCAGCTAATCTGCCGCTCGCTGTCCGGCCGGGGCAGCCGCTTCGAAACCGAAAGCAAAGAGGAAGCGGGACGGGGCAGCGCCCCCAGCCCGGTCGCCC